AAAGTATTAATTTTTTAATAATATATTTTAAAATATTTAAAAATAATTAAAAATAATTGTAATTAATAAATAAAATTATCTACAAATTTGTAGGCAAAACAGATGTAAGGATAATAATTAAATTTATATTAAAATTTTAAATCTTCAAATTAACTTAATTAAGATAAATATATTTTGATTTTGATTTTTAAAAATAAATAAATTTTAATAATTAAAAAATATGAATTTTCTAATAATCTTAATAAAATTATCAATCTAATTATAAAAAGAATGTTTAACACTATAAAATATAATATATTTATATATAAAAATCAAAATTAAAAGTTAAACTTAAATAATTTAACTTATAAAAGTATAAAGATAAATAAAATTTAAAATAATCAAATAAATTATTAAATTTTTAATTAAATTTTTAAAATTAATATTTTTATTAATATTGTTCTTTTAATAAGATAATTTAAAAATAAAATATTTATTATAAATTTATACTTAACTCTTATAATTTCTGATACTGATCTTATATCTGAAATTTAATTAATAAAGAATTGAAATTTCTATTATTAAATTAATCAAGCATATTTCAAATTTAGTGAAATTGCAAAAGCAAATTTTCATTCTTATAGTATATAAAATCTCATACATATATAGATAAACTTTCTTAAATAGAATCTTTAATTTTTTTATTTTTTTTTATTTTATTTTTTTAGTTGTTTTAATAATAAGCAAGGTTTTATAATTGATTTTTATATACTTTGATCTATTATTTGAAAAATGAAAATCAGATGAAAATTAACAATAACTGAAAATAATTTACAAATTAATTATATTAGAAAAATACAATGAATGTCCTGTATATAAAAAAAAACTAATAAGCCTTTTCAAATTAAATTTTTTTTGACTTTTCTCTTATTATTTATAACAATAAAATAATATAAAAAAAAGTCAAAATTTAACTGTTTGAACAGGCTCAATATACTAATATTATTGTCAATTTGAAGTAAAAAATTCGATTTATTTCGATTTGATTACATTCATTTTTCTGAAATGATTTTCTTTTTAAAATTGAATTTTGGATATTATTAAAATGATGTCATGTGATATTTATTTTTTAGTATTGAAAGTGGAATTTACCAATTTTAACGTATATAAAGAAATAGGATTATGGTTAATTAACCACACAAGTAAATAATTTATATTTTAAAAATATTTATTGCAAAAAAAATCTATTTTTAAATTTGGCAAATTACAATAATAAGATGTATATATAATCCAAAATTGTCAACATTGGATTATGTTAGAAACGTCTATATACATTTACATATATTTCACATTCTACTTTTACCTAAAATCTCTTCGGTGTTAAAAAATTTTTCTTCACTAGGGTCCCACATGTTTTCTTGAACAAATTTAACCAATTTCTCCCATTTTTCTCCTTGTCGAGTTTTAAGTTCTTCACAATCATTTTGTACCATATTAATAATTAGTTCATCGCGTGCTAAACCTTCATCTACTGCTTCAACGATTACCGCTGCAGCCACTTGAGCTGATACATGACGAATGCGACTCACAACGGGATAAAGTAATTCCGACGATCTTTCTTCTTCTGTCAACGAAGTTGCCAATGCTGATGCAGATGTGTATATTTGTCGATCAGTGATACGTTCTGGCTTAGCAAGAATCGCACCTAAACCTAATCCAGGGCTGTGAAGAATTAGCAAAGTAAATTAGTAAATATCATTATAGAAGTCGAATTGATTAAACCTATTTTTACTTACAAAATGTACATGTTATTTCCTTGACCTGGATGTCTTGTTTTACCAGTTTCTGGTATCGTATATGATGGAAATGCCGTACCGGAGGCAAATATAACACGATTATCTGATTCTTTCATTGCCTATTTTAAAGGAATCATTAAATTATTACCACAAATTATTATTTACAATTGATAATAACGTAAAAATACATACAGTATCAAAAGTACATTCAGCATTAACCATTGGATTAGATAATGGGAAGATAATTGGATTTTTATTTAATTCAGCCATTCTTCTAATAATATTTTTATTAAATACTCCGCCGGTTGATGATAATCCTATAAGTGCAGTGGGTTTGACGTATTCTATAACTTCTTCAAGTTTTTTAAATTGACATCCATCATTATCATCACGGGCAAAAAATACTTTATGTCTGGCCAATTTGTCACCACGGTCAAGCGTTACAAGTCCCTAGAAAAAGAAATAAAAAAGTTTGATAGGTAATATAAATATGATTTTTCTTTAGTTATCATTTCTTTAAACACATGACGTATATACGAACCTTTGTGTCTACCAACCAAACCAATTTCTTTGCATTTTCTTCAGACATTCCATGTTCCACTTTGAAGAATTCAATCAGTTGTTTGGCAACGCCAACACCAGCAGATCCAGCACCGAAAAACAATAATCGATGTTCTGTTGGATGAATTTCATTTTCTACAAGCTTTACAGCATTAATAAAGCCAGATAGAATTACAGCCCCCGTTCCTTGAATATCATCATTAAAACAGAAAGTATTATCTCGATATTTGGTTAAAAGGTCAAATGCCTATTATTGTTTTTTTTTTTAAAAAAAAAAAAGGTTGAGTAACCGAATATTTAATTAATTTAACAGAAATAAATATTTGTCCTCACGTGTTCAGACGAGAAATCTTCGAATTGAATCAATAACTTGGGATGTACTTTAATTAAAGATTTAATGACAGCATCCATAAATGAATAAAATTGATCGTCATCCACTCTCTTTTTTCGAAGGCCAAGGTAGAATTCATCATTCAAATTTTTTTCATTATTAGTACCAAAGTCAACGGTGATTGGCAAAGTACGTCGAGGGTCAATTCCTGCTGCTGCCACATATAATTGAAGTTTTCCAACGGGGATTCCCATACCATTCACACCCAAATCACCTAAACCCAGAATTCTTGATCCATCAGTGATCACGGCAATTTGTGGGGTTAAAGAATCATCAAATGGATACGGACGATAGCTTTTGATTATTTGAGTTAAATTCGGAAGGTCATTCAAAGAAAGGAAAAGTCCATCTGGTACTCCCGGTGGGGCAAGGAATGGAGCTATATGGGAATATTCCAAACAAGCGGTACCAACGGTTGGAGTGTAGATAAGAGGGGTAATTTCCTAAACAAAAACCAATTCAATTTAAAATACTAACTTTACAAAAGATAACACATCGAATCGAGATAAAATGATCTACCTCCAATTCCTCGATAACAATACTATAAAATAATTTAACATTAGTATTTCTAAGCCATGCAAGAAAAATGTATTTTTCCAAAGGGGATGACTTAGATCTCAATTGAGTCAAAGCCCTTTTCTTTTGTTTTTCGACAGTTTCTACGGTAGATGGCAAAAGACCGGCAGTATTTAGGGCATTTCGTAAGGAAAGGGGCGCAGTAGTTCCTAAACATGAAATGAATATAAAATTTTTAATTAATTATTTTTTTTTTATTTAAGGGGCAATCTTTAATGATAAATAAAAATACCTTTGTTAAGGTAAGGTGATCTTGCTACGCTTTCAATTTTGTTGGAGGTATAATGACCGTTTCCATTAGCATAGTTAGGCATGATTAATTCGGGTAGCAGGTTATTATTTTCAAAAGTAGGATAAGGATAATTTTCAAAATGCTCAAAAGAATATTGAATGTTATGTACGGAAAGATTATTTTCTTGTGAAGAAGTCTTATTTGAATTGCAAGTAAGAAAATTTTGTCGAGTATTTGTATGAAATGAAAAATTTTTTTGGTGTAACTTTGTTGCAGAACATTCAAATAATTTGAGACGTAGACATTTCAACATAATTGGTAACTTACTAAAATGTATTAGCGTTAAATAAGTATTTGAGGTTTTTTGGAAACAAAAGGGTTTCTAAGAACAATAAAAATATGATTGAGTTAGAGATTTAATGATATACATGAATGTTTGATTCATTTATTGTGTCAATGAAAATTTTTGAAAATTATATAAGCTTGTAAGATTTATTATTATACGAGAGCTCATTATTCCTATATGCAGGATCAATTATTTTAAATTTTTTGTTTGAAACTTGGTTTCAAGTCCTTTTATGCTTTCAGATAAGTCGATATTGGGACTTTTAGAAGATATAATATGATTCGGAGTTTAACTTTATGCAGATCAACTGTCTTCCGAAATGTCCGAAATAGTTGCCAAATTAATCTTTCCTTTTGCTCTTCGTTATTTTCTTCCTTGGGACACTCATCGTATTCAACGCCCCATGTAATAAGTAAACCTAAAAAAAAAGATCATCCAGACTGTAACTATAATACATTTGTATCCATCACCGATGACTCGTTTCTGTTTTCTCAGTGTCACTAAATTTTTCTTGCATACAAACTTAATTTTTTTTTTTTTACTCTCACGACCGCTAATAAATTTTTTTTTTAGATCATGACTCAGAATTTTGTATACATAAACAAGAAAATCTAAGATTGATTAATTAACATCCGGAAATTTCCGTTGTGGTTGCTCCAACTTAATTTCGCGTATTAGAAAAAACTTTAACCGTTAACATGTGAACTTTCTCACAAGTGTAAATACAAAATTTATGGATATTCTCGCCGTAAATTGGATCTTATTTTTCGGATTAAAAATAAAATTAATATCTATATCTGAAAATGAAAGCAGGTGATAACAATAAGGGAAAATATAGAGACACGAGAAAATCTACATGCAGATCAGAATTTCCCGAGCTACTTTTTACTTTGGAATAAAGATAATCATTAAATTTTCAGGTTTTATTCAAATTTAGTAAAGTTGCATTAGTAAATTATTTATATAATATATGAACACAGTGCGAATATTCTTACATATTTAATCTTTCATTTTGATTTATTTAATTTAATAAATACTTTTTAATTTAATTATAATAATAAAATATATAATTATGAATTATTTTTACAAAAATCTTTAAATTTTTAATTAATAATAATATTATTTCAATATCATATTTCTATAAAAAATTTGCATATGTTTGTCATTATTTTAAATAAGTTTTGTATACATTTTTTGAAATTCTGTATGTATGAATTATTTTTTAGCAATTTTTTTTATAAAATATGATATATAAGAAATTGTTAATTAATAATAAATAAAAATAATACATTGAAAATTATAAGATTTTACAATGAAATTATACATAAAATTAATTTTTTTACAATTGATTTATATTATTAATTGAAAATTTTTACTAAAAATAAAAGAATTAATAGATTTTTATAATTTATAAATTTGATACTTATTTGTTACTATTATTATTAATAGTATCTAAGTTGCATAACAAGGATGTTATTATCTTAAAAAATTTAAAAAAATTCAAATTTTTAATTAATATTTAATACAAACTGAATCTCATTACTAAAATAAATATAAAATAATAAAAAAAAAATTATATTTTTATTACATTGAAATTATGAGGTTTTATAATAAAATTTTTTAGCAAATTAATATTTTTTTTGCAGTTGATTTATAATATTAATTGAAAAGTTTTATTAAAAATTAGATTTGTTGTAACTTATAAATTGTTACTTATTTATTATTTTTATTATAAATAGTATCCAGACTGTATGATGAGAATATAAGTACTTTAAAAATTTGAATTTCTAGCTGATTTGTTATTTTAAAAAAGATGTAAATTTTAAGTACTAAAAAGCCTAAAATATTTAGCTTTAAGTTTGATAATTTTTAAATTCCAAATAAAAAAAAAAAAGAAAAAATTATATATAATGTTTTTTTCTTTATTACTATTCTTATTATTTTATTTACATTATAATCATTTATTAAAATACTAAATATTTTCTAGTATTGAGATCCAGAAAAATTTGTTTAGCTTTTTAATTAATAACTTAAATCAAACCAATTTAAAATTTCTTTTTCAAAGTTCAATTATTATGATATTTCTAAAAATAATTTTACAAATTAAAGTAATTATATATATAATATATTAAAATAATTTTATATTAAAATATTACTTTCAATTAGAGTATCAGTTATTATTTTTGACTACTTTATTTATAGCATATATTCAGTTTGATTAGTAATTAATACATATTTAGTTTAATTAATAATTTATGAAATCTAAAAAGAAAAAAGAGAAAAAGTAAAGACAGAAGGAAAATTTTAGAAAACAAAAGAAATAAAAGAAGTTAATAAAGCTGATTGATTAAAAAAAGTTATATTAAATAATATAAAATGAATAAAAATAAATTTTATTTAAAAAAAATAAAAAAATAAAAAACTTATTTTATATATTTGAATTATAATTACATATAAAAATATTAAAATTCTAATATATTAGTATTTGTAATCAATATTATTTATTTAAAATTTAATTTATAAAAAAAAATTTAAATTTTTAATTTAATATAAATATGTTAGTATTTATTATCAAAATTATTCATTTAAAATTCAATTTATAAAAAGAATTTAAATTTTAATTAAATGTAAATATATCAGTATTGACATAAATTTTTAATTTAATATAATAAATTATATATAAATTTTTGCTAATATTAAATTAATTTAAAATTTCTTATTAAATTTTTAGATTATAATAAATTTAGATAATATTAAATTGATATCAGTAAATATACATATTCTATATTACATATTTATAGAATTATTTATCATGTAAATTAAATTAGAATTACATTAATTTTTATTAATAACCTTTTTTCTTTTAATTATATAAATTATGATTGTAAATATTTTCTTCCTTTTAAAACCTTCTTTATTGTTCAGAGCGTAATAAAGAATTATATATGTTTATGAAAGGTGATCACAAATAGAATCACGTGCCGATATCCCATTGTTTGCATGCACTACGTCATGATTTTGTGCTATGTTTATAAATAAACAAGATGACATTAAATAAAATAAACAAAATAAAGTATTACAAGTGTTACATACAGTATTACGAGAGTGAGAGAAATTATAGAAAAAAAAAATAAAAAAAAATTATTTTATATTTATATTTTATTATAATGGAATTTTGAGTTCTCAGTTTTCAGGTATCATAGAAACTAAGTGTTTTTTTCGTCTAACCGTTCTTGTAGTCTTTTACATTCTTTAATACACTGAAGTCTTTCAAAATTAAATGGTTTAAAAAGTGGATCTTTAAGTGTACGTACTTGTGAGATTGTTACAAAAGAAAGACCTGCGGCAAACTCTTTATTTCCAAGATCAATTACAGCATTTTGTAACATGAGACCTTGACTTTTATGAATTGTAATTGCTCACGCAAGACGAACAGGAATTTGCAAACATGAACAAGAAACTCCAGATTTACCATTTCAGATATGTTGAATTAGTGAGATAGGTACAACTCTTTTACCCTCTATGCTAACGATTGTGGGACCTTTATAATTATCAAAAGAGATTAAAACTGCTATGGTTATGTCTTGAACGGTTTTCATTGAATCGTTGACTAGTCCACTTTATATTTGCAAATTTACTGTTAACATGACTCGTGCACCTCTTGCCAGTAATATATATGCTTCAAAACTATATATCATGTCAGGGTCAGCTTTTTTTGCTTCACTCCCACTTGTATGTATAGCTTAAATTTTAGCTACAGGAGCATTTAAAGATCAAAGTCGATCTATATTTACTAAATTAACTTCAGCCTACTTTGTTAAGATGAATAAAGCATTATAGAATCTATTATGTTCTATTATACTGAGCTTATCTTCAATTTGTGTGGTAAGCTTTTTTTAATCATCTATAGTGATTCATCATTACGAAGTCTTAATAAAATGTTTCTAAATTTCTGTTATTCTATAGAATCCCTGATTGACGTTAAATAGTTTCAAGCTTATACACCTCTCTGAAATGTTTGTATGCTATAAGGCCACTATTAGATAGTTCATCTCGCTTAGTGTTAGCATACATAGGAAGATCAAGAACAGGCAGAATTTGGCCAAAATCACCAAATAGGATAATTAACCTATCGCCAAATGGTTCGTTATTATTCCCAGGAAAAGCTTGCCAAAGTTGCATATCAATTAATGCTAGCATTCAGTGACCAATCATGCTTTTCTCATCAATTATCACATATTTTACATCCTTTAATTTATTTTGTAGTTGCTTCAGCTGTTCGCCTTTTATATCTATACATTAGCTATCATTAATTATTAGTATTGATAGCTTTGAATGTACTGTTATTCTATCGATATTGAACGCTGCAACTCCAGTTGGTGCGAATTGCCTTGATCAGATAAGTCTTCTCAGTTTTAGCAGTCCTCATTATAATTAATCTGAGAGGTTTGGCTTAATGTCTTGAAAGTACTTCTTGATAATGGGACTTTATTCGTTTAAAGATTGTTTTTTGAATATCATTTAGTGTTTGATAATATATTATTAAATCTTCTTTTTTCATTAGACCTAGAGTTCCTATTTACAAACGTATCAAAGTTATAGTTTCGATCTATGTCACGTGATCCTATATCAGAAGAGTAGTTAAAATTTGTATTTGAACCCATTCCGGCAAGAAACATCCAATCAGATCAAAATTCTTCATCTTCGTCGTCTTCAATTAACTCTTTATTGTCATCAATTATTTCACTTTCTCATAATCTAGCAGTGGTCCAAGTAAATCAGCTGGGTTAGAATTGATTTCCTCAATATATCAGCTGTATAAAGTAGACCATTCAATAGTGTCATTTTCCATTAATTATTGAAAGTTTCTGTGATGAACGTGAAGAAGAACTTTTATGCGGTAATACTCTTCCCATTGAAGACCTTCACATAGTGGTGATGGGCGTAGATAAATCTGTACAATGTTT